TTACTATAAGAGTTTCACATATCAGGCCCCTTTTACAGCATCCTGTGCTTCTCTGGGACCTTCACTTGGTTCTCTATGCGTTGCACAAACCACCTTTTAAACCCACCAGTGATATTTCCTTAGAGAATATTGCCAGCAAAGTAGCCTTTCTGGTGTAAAGAGCCCTTCCTTATACATCACATTGACAAGATTGTATTAATCCCTAGATCATTCTTTATTCCAAAGGTGGTTTCAGCATTCCATCTCGGTGAGGACATTGATCTACCATTCTTGTGCCCTGCTCTTAAGCACACAAAGGAAATCTCTTTACATTGTGTGGATTAAGTCAGGGCCATTAGCATGTACCTAAATGCTTCTGCTTCCATTATAAAAATAGATTGCCTCTTTGGTCTGTCCTCAGGTACCTGCAAAGGGTACTCCTCTTCAAAATCCATCACTTCATGGTGAATAAGGGATTTGATTGCTAGAGCTTATGCCTGAGCTCTTATGCGCACTCTCCACTAGATCTTTTGAAGTGTCCTGGCCTTTAGGTCCTAAGCCTCTGTTGTCCAATTCTGTAAGGCTGCCAGCTGGTTTTGTGTTCTTACTTTTTCAAAAACTTATCAGGTGAATATTTAATATTCTGTTGACAACTTTCAGCCACAAGGTTCTTGCAGTGGCTCTCTGTACCTGGGTGTTTCACCCGTTTTTGGGCCTGATGGCACAGTTCTGTTTGACTATTAGTAGTATTATGATTACACAGGATTTGCCAACCGTTTGCACAGTGCTTTACAATCTAAAGGGAGAATTTACAATATAATAGGCTAGTTTTTGACCACCTTTCCTATTCATTGCTTGGGGGGCATCCTGTGGTGTATGAATAAGATGTCTGTGTACTATAGAATTAAGATCAGAGGAATTTTGAATCACCTGTAAATTCCATTTCTTAGGGTACAGGACACAGGCTAAACTCTGTTGGCTCTGCATCGCATTCTGTAAAATGGAGGGCTCAGAGTGGGGTAGGGATATAGCAGGGGTGCCCCAGGGTGCGTGTCCTTAAAAGCTTGCCAGTGTCCATTCACCTGAAGGTACGAATAATGTAGGAATAAGATACCTGTATCCTGTTCTGTACTCTAAGATGAGCAATTTGCAGGTATGCCAAAATTCTTCTGCTCTTGGAGTTCATCGCAGGGCACAGGGATCCCACCCCTCTGTCTTTGTGGTTTATAGACTGCTACAAAATCTGAATCCTTGTGTAATGAGGAGGGGTTATACCTAGGTGGTAATTTCCTGTATTTTTTGCACTGTCCAATCATCTGCAGGTGGCAGTATAACCCTTTAGTAATGGGAATGAAGATACCCTGTGTCTTGTGAGGTACACCAAGAAAGGCATTATACAGTTAAACCAAAAATCAATTTTTCAGGGAGCATCAGCAATGATGATACCTATATTTTTTATACCAGGTGTGATATACCTAACCAGGACAGGGGCTTTTGGAGGGGACTGCAGGCTAGTCTCTTGCCTACTGACCATGGCCCTGGCATCTAAGGGGGCTGTATTATTTGGTGGGTGCCTAGGGGGACCTTTGGAAAAGTTTACTTTTGGATTCAAGTCCATGTCTCCCCAAAACACACTGAGAACTGGAGGACAAGGACACAGATTTGGGGTCTCTGTGCCCAAACTAGCATTGACTGCTTCCACCCCCCTCCTTCCTATATTTAGAGACTCTAAGAAGATGTTGATATGTTCAGCTCAAAACAACCTCATGCTGAGGACTCTTGCTCTAATCTCTTTATTAAGCTGTTATGTGTTTACTCCCATTGTGTCCCTCTTAGGTGTGCATTCCCATTGTTAATTGAGTCACCAATTTGTTGGCAAGTCCTTCTGGAGGTACCTACATGATAGGATTAGACTGATGTTGGCTTCACCTCATTATCTAGGATGTTTAATTTTTGTTTTATTGTGGGGTGTGCCCCTATTTCTGCAGTGTATAGAAACTGTATTTTTTTCTAAGCTAGTCTCCTCTAGTCTTGGTTGCAATGCCCAGCTAATAATACCTTGGTACTATGACCTAGTGGTGAGGAAGCGGGTCTGACGGAATCACACAATTGGGGGTGACAGGTGTTCTGTCACATTATCCCTATATTTCTTATACCAGGTTTATTTATTTTTTGGGTTAACGCAAACTTACAATTCGAGGAGTTTGTGGTGTTTCATAATTTTTTGAAAGTGTAAGACAAACTTGTTGACCAACAAATCGAACACAAATTCCACTTAGCCCAAGAAATGGTTCTTGAAAAGGTTAGGCTGTGCAACCCAGACATGGTAAGATGGGTCCTATGTAACCATATTTATTTTTGTGCCTGTAGATTAGCTTTTGTTAAAGTGTTAAAGTTATTCATTTATAAAGGAATTACTAAAGATATGATAAAAGTATAGAATTAAGACATCAGGTAGAGTTACCCGCGGTAAACAAAACCTGAATGGAACATGGTATGTTGGAGATGGTTATGTAGTTGGACATGTACTTTGGTTTAAAGATTAAGAACGTATTCATATTACTGTAATTTCTCTGTTGATCTTTAAGGGACACAACATTCAGAGACAGTTGAAATATAGTGCTGCCTGCAGAGGATTTTGGACACTGAGATTTAACCCCTCCTTTTTTTGTGCTAGTGTCTTAGGAGGATGGATGCATTTTCTGTTCTGAGAAACCTTTAAAGATTAACTCCAGAAAACAAAATAGTCCTTCCTTGCCATGGGGCTGTCCTGCACTGTAAGGATTAACTGCTTAATTAGTGTAGTGACCATGAAATTCACTGATAACATATCTGATCCTCCACTGCTTCGGGAAACTACACTCTCATCCGACCATGGACTGTCCTTTGGTGTCCTCATGTCCAATGCAGAGCTATTGGCCCTGCATCAATCAGTCTTGATGAAGACCTTAGACTGCCAGAGCGCAGAGGCAGCAGGGACCCATCTACCAGAGGAAGCTGCAGGAGTTGAAGATTAGGTAAACCTGCTTTTCACAGTCATCTAAGTCATCTAGGCATAAACAAGCAGGCAATCCTTGCAGTGTGGACACAGCACTACAGCAAGGGTGGACTTTAGCTTTCCAGAGTTCAACTTTAACTTGTTTCATTAGCCGTTTTCCTTTATCTTCAAGTTATATTTGCTTAAATCAAGACTACTACAAATACACAGCTTGAGCTGCTCTTTTTAAGAGGCTATCCAGATTGGTATATCCTCAGCAATAGATTTGTAGGTCATACCAGGACCTGACTGGACAATTGTAGGGCCTGCCTGAAGTCTGACCTTTTAATGCAGGGCTCTGTTGTACTTTCCTGACCTTTGTATGCTGTTAAATTTCTAGATTCAAAGCTGCGACCCAATCTATAAAGTCTTATTTATGAGTAGGCCATGAGGGCCAAATATTGTGAGCTATATTTATTGGGAGTTGCTGAGTGCTGTTTTTACCCGTTTTCATTAATTTACATGAAAAAAGAATAATATGCTGAGCAAGTAAAGTGTTCTTAAACCTACACATAATAACCCAGGTGAAGAAGCCTAGGTCTCCTGTTGGAAAGACTCCTCCTTATTCTGAGGCCAAAAAGCGTTTTTTCTTTACTCCTAGACTTCAAGACCAGGCCCAAGCCAGGGGCCCAGCTTAGCCACAAGCACCGAGAATGTAAATTCGTCTTATCTGCAGGGAAGTCCTCTTCAGCATCTAGGGACACCACCACTTTTCCAGAGTAGGGGGTCATCGGTTGGCTTTTTTGATTACTTGGTCAGAGAGCATGTCAGATGTGGGTAAGAGAAATGGGTTTAGGGGCTAAAAGCTGTAGTTCCAAGCAGTACTGCTCTTGAAGATCTTTTAAATCAAGGCATTATTGCCAACAACAGAAATATTTAAGGGTTTTTATTCCAGTTCCCAAAGCAAAAGGGGGTAAAGATGGCTAACCTCCAATTGTACTTTTTGTTTGGGGTGTCTCATGTAGCTCTTACTGTTCAACCACCTGTGACTCCATGGAATCTGGAATGCTTTTTGAACTTGTTTACGATATTCCCCTTTCTACCCTTACTCAGAAGGTGCTTTTCCTTGTCACATTACCTCTGTTAGGTGTGTCTGAGCTGGCAGCTTTTGCTTTTTATTGAATCCTGGACCTCCTCTCTAAGGTTGTTTCATCCTTTCGGTTCAGCTCCTTTTGTCTCTCTGTTAAGCTGCCAGATGTTTCTCGTCACTGGATGTAGTTTGTGCTGTGTGGGTTACTTTGCAGCCACTGCTTTCATTAGAAAGACTGACTCTGTCATCCATGGTGGCCCCTCACGCCTCTCAGTCCACTATTGCTCTGTTGCTCAGACAGATTGTTGCACAAGCTTTATGGTATATATTGTAGTTAAACCCCCAAACCTTAGATGTGATGGCTGCCTTAGTTTTCTTTTTTAATTTTTTAATATTTTTTTTCCAGCTTTTTTCCTTTTCTTCCTATTCTTTCTATTTTTACCTGGTGATTCAGTCAATAACACGTTTTCCTGCAACTGCTAGATCCATCAACATCTTCTTTTCCTGGCTTCTTCTGGGTGCCGGTCTCTTTGAGCTGCAGGCAGTCCCTGGTTTATTTTGTTATGTAGGCATGTTGGTGTATTTTTACAGTTACCCACCTCACAGATGCTTTTGGATATCTCTGTTGTCTGACACCTGTGTTCCTTGATGAATAATAAAGAAAATAGGATTTTTGTACCATGATACATTAAAGCTTTCGCACAGCTGTCATGAATAGCGACCATAATTTGCCTAATATGTTTTTATTATTTCAGGAAAATACTGCATTATGGCCACTAAATGGAGAAGATAATCATAGAAAAAAAATTGTTAACTTACAGGGAATTTAAGACAGCTATGCAAAATTTGAGACAGTCACACAGCAATTTTTTTAATGAATAGACCTCTAAGTGTTTAGGTACTTGATTTGCAGCAGTTTACAATAATTTGAGTATCTTTACTTTTCTTTATCAGCAACTGAACCATCCAAATGTCATTAAATATTACGCCTCTTTCATTGAAGACAATGAACTGAATATAGTCCTGGAACTGGCAGATGCTGGGGATCTATCAAGGATGATAAAGGTATGTAGGTGATGCATGGACCTAAATGGGAAAGGCTTTCACATACATAGTGGCTGTATTATTATTTTCAGGTATTCTGCTGTACAAAGTGATTGGAATGAATGTTTTTTATTTAAATGAAGTTGTTCATTAGGCTCATTTCACAAAGCAAAATAGAGATCTTTATTTTCGAAAAAGCAACTGTTCTTTTTAGTAGAGTCTAGCGTGTTTTGTACATTAGTCACCTGGCTAAACAAAATCCATGTTCTTGTTTTAATTTTTTTGCAAATTGAGCCTTCGTTTCTTTTCTGCCCTAGAGCTTGCCATGTTGCCACTTGTGGCTGCCCCTTCACTAAAACTTGTGTTAAAGCCTTGAACACAAAAAGCTATATTTGGGTGCACACTTCGATAGCCAGGTAGTCCTCTTGTGTAATAATTTGGCTAACTCCTTGATTTGACTCTTAATTTCAATTACTGAATTCTGTATGTTGTCAGAATGTAAAAATATTTGTATACATAAAAACATAAAATGTAGTTCAGAGACTTCATCACTCTTTTAAACAGAATAAAACTGAGCTGATGCCGCTCCTAATTTTACAAAAAAGGGTGCAAGCTCCTGTCAAATAGGAATGATCTCAGTTCAGGAGAGCAGCAGTCTTCAGTTCTGGTTCCCTCTGTCCCTCTTCCTCTGCAGCTCTAGCTCTAAAATTGCAAGATTTGCAAAGTGTCTGCTTACAGTGTTAGATGTGAACCATGGCTATGCCAGATACAGACATTGGCAGGTTCCCTTTAGGGGGTGTGAACCTCTTCCATTGTGTGTTGGTTTGGGAAATGGGCTGATTGTAAAGTAATGTTTATAGTCGTATATTAGCATACATATGTTCGTTGGTTGAAAGGCGGCCCTACTAAAGAAGGTTCATTCACTAAGCAGCGTTATTAGCAGAGTTATTAACTCTGTAGTTTTTTTTTTTTTTTTAATTGCATGATCCTTTTATCAATAAAACATTAAAGTAGATTTTTACCCTTCTCACGCACACTTTCCTTCACTCTCTCACTCCCTCCAATTCTCAAACATTCACTTTATTTACTTAAACACTTACTTTTGTGACGGAACCCTCCCTATACTTTGGTATTCTTGCTTGGCTGTGAATAACATCCTCCATTGCCTACAACCTCCTGGGATAATAACATCTCACATTCCAAGATGCCTTGGGGTACTGTACACACATATACCTTAGCACCTCAGGTGCCTGGCTTTCTCTTCCTGTTTCTTGCAGCTGATCCCCTGATGACATGCTGTGGCACATGTCCACCATCAGGGATCCATCTGCAAGAACTTGGAAGAGACAGCAGGCTCCCCATGTCAAAGAAGAAGATGGTGGTGCGAGATCAAGTGTGCCGTAGTCAAGCGGCGGATTACTACAGAACATCTCTGGATTTGCTGGGCATGTGAGTATGTTTCCTGTGATTAACTCAGTGTAAAAGTTAAAGCTGGCTAAATACTGGACTAATTTGCCTGCTTTCTTATGAACCAAGCAACATTTGCATTGCGTCTGGCCCTGTTAACAGCCTCCCGCCCAACATCTGATTTTAAAAAAAAACTGGAGGAGCCACACAGAAAATTGTTGGCCTGAACAGCGGTTGAATCCAATCAGTGTCTCCAAAGGATGAGATAACTGCATCATGCCTCCCAGATGATGTTTCCATCCACCTGTTTTTCAGAGGACATATGAAGTACTTTGCTGGATTTCTGCTTTCTCAAACGTACAGCATGCTGCTCATCTAACAAGCAGATTTTTCTGTCCCTCAATCTGAGTTCTTAGCAAATGTCTTGGCATTTCTAGAACCTTTGGTTTCTAGAGGCCAAAAACACTACATGTCCTCTTCCCCGTGACCTTGTTCAGGAATCAGAAGTGGAACCTCCTTTACTTGAAGATATGGAGGGAAGTATTGACAATGATTTTGTAGCAAGAGCAGCGGATGATTTTTTTCTTATGAAGGTACAAGCTTGACCTTTTGCCAGATGCTTTCCCCTTTGGACACACTAGCCTTTGCCTAGCAGCACTAGATTATCCACAGCCAAAAAAGTTTTTTTAAAAGACTTAGCCAGTGTCTTAGTAGCCGTAGAGCCCTACGGCTACTAAGACACTGGCTAAGTCTTTTATAAAAAACTTTTTTTAAACATGCACAGATTAGTGAACCTTGAAAAGTTTTATGCTCCTCCTAAGCTTTTTTCTGATTTGTATCTTATGGAAAAGGATTTTAAAAAGAAATCGTTTACTTTGGATCCTGCTGGTTCAGTTCCTTATTAACACCTTAGGCAGCCCATACATTGATCGTTTTTTGTTTTTTTTTTTTGTTCAGAAGTTTGAACAAATAAAAAAAAAAAGTCTGATTCCCCCATCTACACATGCAATGTGTATAGTGTAATCCTTCCGCTTTGGTACTATATGCTGTATTTGGGAAGACTTTCCTGTCGTCATGATACAATGACCAGTTTTGCTGGCTGTAGCCAGCGGTACTGATTCGGGAAAAACCCAGCAGACTGGTTGTACACAAGTCAATGGATTGACTTGTCTACAGCCAACCTGTTCATACGTAGATCAGAATTCATCCAGTTTCTATTGAACCTGCTGAATTTCTGTCCATGTATGGCTGGCTTTACAGTTTCTATGGATGATGTTCCTTACTTTGAAGATCTTTCCTACTTTAAGGATTCTATTAATAGGTGTTTTGAAGCCCTCTTGAAGGCTGAATTTGCTTCTACGGGTCTAGCCCTGCAGCCAGCAATTGCTGCCTTGTCCTTTTTGATAGACTATTGCCAAGACCAGGAACCTGTTATTTGACAAGTCTAAAGAATCTTATCTCTGTGCATATACACAGAATTTTGTGGCTAATAGCTTGGTCTTCTGAACACGCTTGAATTAATCCACTCATGCATGACATTTCATGAATGCCTCTTATGGTAATAAATCTCACAAATTCACCAAGAAAGTGTCCTAAGTCTTCTACTTTTATGGCTTCTTCCTCTACTCAAAGAGTGGTATTTTTCCTTTCTCCCCAGGCATCAATTTCTAAACCAAGACCATCTTGCACCAGCTTCAGGAATTTCTATTCAAATCTAAGCATAGTCCCAAAACCAAATGAGGGCATCTGTATTTCAAAATTCCATATGGAACCTGCAAGATCTGTTATTGCTTCCCTCAGACAAGAGGAATTTCTTGCATCAGTAGGCGTGCAAGGTACAGGTGTAGCTCGGTTTACGAATTTAATTAGTTCTGCGGGACTTTTCGTATTGCGAAAAATTTGTAAACCGAAACGAGATTTCCCATAGGAATGCATTGAAAACGAATCCATTCCGGAGGTCAGAAAAGAGTAAAAAAAAGTCTTATCTGTTCAAAACTCTATCGTGCACTTTAAAGGCACAGTACTGTACAGGGACATGATTAAAAATAAATTTGTAAATGTATTGAAAACCAATTAATCCGTTTGCATTGCGAAAAATATTCGCAAACGGAGGCATTATTTTCGATGGATTTTCATTCGTAAACTGAAAATTACCTTAACCGAGGCACGCCTTTACTTATCTTTTTATTTCCATATTTTAATTGCACATTTCTGGACACAGGAATTGATTCTTAGACCATAGGCTATATGCCACGACCTTCAGGTGATTGGACACTGGAAAAAGCTTTGCTGGGACCATGTTCCCACCCATCCATCTACCCACAGTGTTCACATGTAATCCTTTTTATTCCACGTTGCGCTAGTTTTGTGCAAGTGTCATTAGGTGATCGACCTCTTCTGTGAGAAATTCTTCAGCAATTTTCTTTCGTTCGACTGGCACTCAAGTAATGACTGTTTATTACCTTATGGCTCAGTATCAGTTTCTGGATTGGTTGCCTTCAATGTACATCTTGGAACAGTACCTGGACCAGGGCCAACCTGTAACATTTTCTTTAGGCACTTTATCCTGTATTTGGCGCTCACCTTAGTTCGTAGTGCAATGAGTAAGTTAGCAGCAGGGATACTATACAGGTCCATGGCTATGATCCATTCCTATGGCACCCAGACCCTGAAGACCTCTTTGTGTTATGCCCACCTTAACTGGTTGCCGACCAGCCACAGTGTTTTTACTGTGGCAAGAGTGCACCTCTGCGCAGAATGCCGTTTTTTTATCGGCGCTCTGCAAAACAGGTAGAGGGTGCGCGCCTGCCCTACCCATCCCGCCTATTGCGGCAGCGAATGTCCGTTACTGGGTCCCGGCTGGTCATTACCCGCGGGTCCCGGCAATCACTAACAGAGAGCACGGCTGCAGTGTTTACACTGTAAGTCTGCTCTCTGTCAGTTCAGATCACGCTGAACCTGAGAGAAGAGTTTTCTCTCTCGGGATCAGCGTGTTCTCGTGAAGCACACACACCCACCCCCTAGTAAAATACTCCCCTCACACAGTTAACCCTTTCATTACCTAAAAAATGTTAACCCCTTCCTCCCCAGTGCCATTAGTAGTGTCAGTGGTTTTTTTTTTTGTTTTGTTTTTTTTGCACTGATCACTGTATTGGTGTCACTGGGGATGTCAGTGACCCCAAGTCAGTCCCCCCCCCCCCCCCCAGTTTCAAAATGTCCGCCGCAGTCCCGCCATAAGTCGCTGATCACTGTCATAAATCGCTGATCACCGCCATAAGTCGCTGATTGTCACTATTATTAGTATAATAAAAAAAAAATCCCAGTATCTTTTCCGCCATTTGTAGACGCTATAATTTTCACGTAAACCAATTAATTTACACGTATTGGTATTTTTTTTTTTTTTTAGCAAAGACATGTCGCAGAATACATTTTGGCAGAAATTTATGACTAAATTTGAGTTTTAAATTTTCTTACTGGACATGTTTTATAGCAAAAAGTCCAAAATATTTTTTCTCTCAAAATTGTCAGCCTTTTTTTTTTTTTTTTTTTTTAGAGCACAAAAAATAAAAAACGCACAGGCGATCAAATACCACCGAAAGAAAGCTCAATTTGTGGAAAAAAAGGATGTAAATTTAATTTGGGTGCAGTGTTGCATGACCGTGCAATTGTCAGTTAAAGTAACACATCGACGTAACACAAACCGCTTCTGTGACCGCCCTATAGCAGAAATACTACTACAGGGCGGCATGGGTGCGCAAAATCACACACATATATATGTGTGTGATTCACGCTCCCATGGTTTTCACGCCCCTCCCAGATAGTGTCAGATTGCCCATCAGTACACAAGTCATCACATTTAACCCCTTGATTGCCAGGGGCACGCTCATGCACAATAAACCTCCATTGCTAGTATAGTGTCTGAACGGGTCAATATCTTTGATCAGATCAGCACTATACCAGCGTTCACATTAGTATAGCGTCCCCAAAAACGCAGCGTTAGCGGGATCAGCCCGGCACCTGCCAGCACCTGCGTTTAGCCCCTGCACTTACCCGCCCTTCTCCCCCAGCAAGTGCAGTGTCAGTAGGTCACTGTCACTTGATACATTGCACACAAAACCGCAGTGTGTTTGCATATGACTCTCATATGCAGCAGAGTGCCAGTACTAGTGCCGCTCTACCTTTTGGTGAACTGGCGAGTACCAGCGGTCTAGTATATCCTGGTCTTTCACATACCTCCTTGATTTTTGGAGCTGTTTTTCACAGAATATCTGTATGCGTTGATTGTGGATCAAAACAATTTATATGCACAACAATTTATCGCCGCCAACCCAAATTCAAACCTTGCCAGACCATTCGCATGGAAACTCATTACGGTTTTCGAATTTACATTTTCTTTGGGCCTAACCCTCAACATGGGCATTACTAAAAGAAATTAATTGCGGTTGTATTGGTCCGCAGACCCGATTCATCATATGCCCGTGTTCTCTGCTGCCATGGCCAGGCATAGATATGAGAGTATAACGTGTTTTTATGCATTTCAACGACAATACACACTGTCATCCTCGGGGTAACCCTGAATTTGACCGGCTCCACAAAATTCAGCCCCTCTCAAATCACCTTAACCAAATATTTGCAGATGTCTATACTCCCCAGCAAAACATCTGCCTTGATGAGTCCCTCATTAATTTTTCTGGCTGCCTTGCATTCAAACAATTTTTCCCCTGCAACGTGCCAGATATGGGGTCAAGATGTAGAAGACCTGTGAGAGGGCAACAGGCTATACTTATAAGTTTAGAATTTACGAGGGAAAAGATAGTCACGTGGAGCCCCCCGGATGCCCAGACTACATGGGGAGCAGTGGCAAGATAGTGTGGGACTTGGTGTCATCCTTTTTCCATATGGGGTACCACTTATACGTGGACAATTTTTATTCAAGCGTGCCACTATTTAGACATTTGTTCAGTCTTGGAACTGGCGCTTGTGGCAAAGTGTGACCTAATGTATGCCCACCATTAAAAGTGGGTGGATACAGGGCGGTATATTCTAATGGTAGGCATACCACACACTTTTTCTGGTAGAGATTTCTTCTCATTTTTTCATTCAGTCCACAGGCTGCATACAAAAAAAAAAAGAACATAGTACATATACCCAACAAGGACCAGTGACGTACTGGTACATCACTGGACTTTGAATGGTTATACCAGGATGATGCCTACAGCTGCAGGCATTATCCTGGTATTGTTTTTTTCAGCCAGCGATCGGCTTTCATGTAAAAGCAATCCTAGTGGGTAATTAGCTGCGGGATTGCTTTTACAAGCAGTGGGAGATTATGTCCCCCCTCCCCTGTTGCCTTCCACGGCCTTCTCAGGCAGTCTCGTGCCATCAGGGAACCTGAGAATGCAGCCGGTGTTTCTGCCAGCTGACCATAGAGCTGATTGGAGACTAGAGTGGTGCCAATCATCTCTATAGTCTAAGAATTCGGAAGCTACAAGCATTTCATCACTTCAGTTTCGCAGGATATAAACAGCACCATTTGTAAATTGGGAAAGCATCTGATCACACCGATTTTAGTTTGATTAGATAATGAAAGGGCAGAGGAGATATCCAGAGTCTGATAGACCCCAGATTTCTCAAAAAAGAATATATGACAATACCCATTGAAGTTATAGGGGATATTTGCATTCCTTGGTATAGCATTAAAAGCGATCAAAAAAAAAAAAAAATGAAAGGTACAATGTAAAAATAATAAATAAAAATCAAAATAACTTTTACTCTCTTACTTTGATTACATCTTATTGCTTGCTAAAAACAGCAGCCTCACAGAGTGAGTTATATAGGTACATTCTAGGGGTACCCCAAGAGACTTGTAGATGTACAGCTGCAATTGAAGCCAATGGCAGCTCTACAAATAATTGAATTTTGGTGGGATAAATACTTGCACACAAGATTTTTTTTTTTTTTTTTTTTTTTTTTTTTTTTTGTATTGACACAGTACACAGCAAAGCACATGGTGATCTTTTATTCTTGGTTTAGTTTTGCAACATTTTCTATTTCTTTTTACTTTCCCTCTTCTCTTCCACCAACCTGCTCACTGGACAATGAATCATAGCACTGCTGATTCATTGTTCATGGAGCTGAACCAGGAAGCAGTGCAGTTATCTTTCTTGAGTTCAAGCATGTAGTGGTATTTTATGTTCTAACATATTTGCTTCCCTTTTGTTTACACACTTTCAGCATTTTAAGAAACAGAAGCGGCTGATCCCTGAGAGGACGGTTTGGAAATATTTTGTGCAGCTGTGCAGTGCCTTGGAACATATGCATTCCCGCCGTGTCATGCATAGAGGTAACTTCTAACCTTTTTGATTCCTCTAGGCAGGATGCCTCCGTTTTTGTAAAATTTCTGTCTTTCAATGGTAAATCAAAAATGTGTATTTTATCCTGAACAAATATTCATATACCCTAAGGGCTGATTCACACCAGATGCAGTAGGACCTGTGTTGGGCGACTAGTTCAGCGCTGTCTCACCTCGTGACAAGACAAAATTAATTGTCTCTTGTGTGCCTGGTTCACACCACTGTGTTGCAGCGGTGTGTGGACAGTGTGCAGTGAAAAAAAAAAGTACTTAATGCATTACAATGTGAGGCAGTTTACCGCCTTGCACCATGCAATGGCCATTTGAACTTTTATGAAATTTCAATAAAGTAAAAAAAAGAAAAAAAACGTGAACGGGGTGGTGATCCCACTCGACCCAGCAGCTGGTGTGAATGGACCCTAAAACTGATACCTGTGGATCTTTTCACCATTTTTCCTGTCTAAGGACTCATTTACACCACCCACAATGCATAAACTCACACTGTGTGCATTGGTATTCTGCAAAGCTATTTATTTAGATTGACACCCCAACAGGTGCTGTGAATGAATGCAGCCTCTAATGTTTTTTTCTTGCCACCTGTGCGCCCTCATATGGAAAAACATTGTCTCCACATGGGGTCCCTTATGTATAAGGCCTTATGGTGAAATTGGGACTGGTGTGGAGGTATTCAGGGGAACTGTGACTGGCTGCACCGGTGTGCAGTGAGTAAGGGCGTATTTATATTTGCAGTTGGGCTGCAGTTTTACTGCCCTTCAACCTCTACCCCTTTAGCTCAGAAGGTAGCAGGTAGGGGTGTACCCATGCCATGGCAGGAATTATACCCCCATTGCACTAAACAGACACTACACCTACCAAGCGTGATTCAAGTAAAAGGGGGCCACAATTGCAATTTGATAGTCCAGCAGTTAGGGGGTTAAAACATGCTGTAAGGAGGCGATACAATGTTAAATGCTTTCTGAAGAGTGATCCAAAAGTGGGTCACTCTTTAGAGAGCACCACAAGTGTGAATGAGCCCTTAATAATTTTTTTTTATAATTTTTTTTTTTTTTACAATGTATATTTTATATATGTTTTAAAAAAATCACCATCACTAGAGCAGTGCAGTGCTATACTCCTCCAGCCAATGATCAGAGACACATTATTCTGCACTGGCATACTGTGTTCTGATCACTAACCAGAGCAGTAAAATGTCACCATAGTGACATCGCACTGTGCTAGTGACTGTGATCAGTGACAGATAATTTTTATTTAATTCTTGAGTGTGTAGCAGAGTGCCCAGCACTGTACTACACGTGCTCTCTCCTCTCATAGCCGATCGCTGTGAGGAGAGGCTGCAGCATTGATTAGTCACAGTGACCACATGATACAGTGCAGATTTCATTGGCCCTGTACCCCAATCTGTGATCTGCTATGTCCCACACGGATCATGCCATTGTGTGCCCAGAGCGTTGTCCTGAATCAATGCTTGTGGCTGGGCAGGAGGTGATTAAAGCAAGTCCCTATTTTTAGGCAACTCAGTTTGTTAATGCGTTTACTCAGATATGTGCTTTCTGTATAGAAATTAAGGCATGCTTAGTGTAAAGTTAGAAAAAGCCTAGATGCCACATACTATTTCTTTTAATGAAGATAGAGATTGTCAGGGTTTATATTCATAAAACTTGACCCTGTGCCGAGTGCAATAATTAGAAGTAGGCACAAAAAAGAAAATGACTCAGTGGGACATGAGTAAGGTTAGGCTACGCATGGGTGGAGTAATTAAACAAGTTCATCATAGAGATTCTTCTATTGGATTGTGAATGTAAAGTTAGCAAAGTCCAAGTATATAGGAAATAATGGACACACCAAAAATGAAAATATGTAAGGGATTTTAAATATGCACCCCAGGAATTATCATTTAAAACAATATTAGTAGCTAAAACATGCATTTTTATTGTATACACATCAATAGGATCCAAAAATATGGAATAAAGGGATTTTCTTTTGATTTCAGCAAATATATTCTCGTAAGTGTAAAACATCCCCCAATACAGTATATTGCATTGAGACTAAACATTCCGTGGCTGTTCTACTTCTTCAGAACTTTGGATGTGTTTTCACATAAATCCTGATACTAAACTAAGATTCATCTACAAAAGTAAATAAACAATTAAATTACAAAAATGTCTAAGGGCCCTTTCACACGGGCGGACTCCACCAAGTGGATCTGCCTGTTTAGCGGGGAATCTTGCTGCTGATCCCCGCTAAGCAGACGAATGACAGGTCTGTATCTGCTGTGCACACAGCCCGCATTGTACATTGTAGCAAAGTGTCATGATTCCAGTGTTGTTACATGAAAATGTATAATCAAATATTTACAAAAATGTGAGGGGTGTACTCACTTCTGGGAGATACTGTAAATGTGGGTATTTGTTTTTTTTGCAAATATTTCAAAACACCTAGTACTTTTGAACGAATGTGCTTGATTCATTTCAACCCTCTGCATTTTGTTACTGAGAAACCGGTGTGGTTTATCTACTTATATGTGGATGCATTTCATTCTACGTAGGAAAGACAGAGACTGGAGGCAATTCATTAAAGGTTATCACATGCGTTATGGCGGTCAGGTGACCATACATCGCATGCAATACTGAAAATGTCAATTCACTATTGTTAGTATGCGGTATTTACTGCAAATAGCAAAAACGCTCGGTAAATATTGATAATAAAAGACAAAGTAAATTTACAGAAGGAATACATTAATGCATGCTGTAATTAAGTAGTGGCCAAGCCATGCGGTTGTTAAGGAGCTGGTGGCCTCCATGTCCTTAAAAACCGATACGTCATCCCCTGTCAGTGGGATCCCCACAGACAGCTGAATGTAAAAAAAAAAAGGAATTGCGGGCAATTAAAAAGTAAAAAGGCGTAGGGTTCATCCCACCCCATCCATTTTAAATGGCTTGGGCCCCCCCCCCTAAAATTCATATCAGACCCGTATCTGAGCATGTAACCCGGCAGGTCAGAAAATGGTGGGGGGCATGATTGAGCAATTCCCCCCCCCCCCCCCCACCCCCAATCCTGAACCATACTAGGGCACATGCCCTCAAAATGGGTGGGTTGGGGGGTGCTTTGGGATAGAGTGGTGCCCCCCAAAGCACCTTGTCCCCATGTTGATGGGACAAGGGCCTCCTCCCCACAGCCCTGGCCGGTGGTTGTTGGGGGGCTTATCAGAATCTGGGTGCCACCCGTAACAAGGGGACCCTCAGATACACCCCCCCCCAATGAGAATGAGTATGGTGTACATGGTACCCCTACTCATTCACACAAAAAAAAGTGCAGTGTAAAAAGACACGAGAGGTAGTTTTTGACAAGTCCTTTGTTAAAAAAAATAATAAAAAAAATTTTTTAAAAAATGTCCCCTGGTGTAGAACCATTGTCAATCACAATGCCCGCCGCCACTGCCGACCTGAAAAAAGAAAAAAAAAAGGCTCCCTCTGTCTGACAATTCTTGAATAACTAAGGGATAGGGCCATCAAGTGATGTCGCCAGATGACCCTGACCCGGTCAATGACATCACAAGGGGGGGGTGGCATGGTCAGCCGATGGCATCACCGGATGGCACTGCGCCTTATTTATGAACTGTCAAGTGGTGGAGTTGTCAGACGGCGGGAGCCTTTGTCGAGAGTGGAGCCTTTTATTTTCTTTTTTCAGGTCAGCGGTAGCAGCGGTCATCGTAACATTTTTACAATTTTTGTTTTTTTAAAGCACTTGTCAAAAACTACCTCCTGTGTGGGTTTTTTTTTTTTTTTTTTTGGTGAATGAGTAGGGGTACCATGCTCATTCACTGGAGGTAGGGGCACCCATGGGGACAAGGTGCTCTGGGGGCCCAAAGCATCCCTCCCATGTTTAGGGCATGTGGCCTGGTACAATTCAACTTTGCTCTTTCATTCCCCCTTATTTCCTGACCTGCCGGGCTGCATGCTCAGATGAGGGTCTGGTATGGGTTTTGGGGGAGCCACACGCAGTTTTGTTTTCTTATTTTGGCGTGGGGGTTTCCCTCAAAGTCCATACCAGATTTGAAGGGCTTGGTATGGATTGGGAGGGTGACCCCACACCATTTTTCTTTTCCCTTAATTCTTAACAGTTGGCAATTTTTTTTTTACATTCAAGAACTTACCGCATATTTTAGTAAAAAAAATTTTTTTTTTTTTTTTTTTTAAACTCTGTGCGGTATCTTACTGCACACTGAGATGCAGTAGGATACTGCTTTGTGAATTGTCACCAATGTTCTAGCACAGGACTAGCGAGCATGTTACAGTGATATTAACATTAATCCTTTCCCAAGGGGAGGAGATTTTGATAGGATACTTCAAATGAAGGCTAAGTGGATTTACAGATTAAAGGCCACATCACCATCAGGCTTTAATGACCACATCAATTTTGTTCCATTTTTGGAGTGAGTGAAAGGCTCTTTTTTTATGAAGCATTTGGACAATTGTGCTATAACTTTTAATGTTATTATTCCCCCTCTAACATAAAAATATATCTATCTCAAATCCATTTTCACATATAGGTGTTCTGGTGATTTAGCCATCCATTGTTTTGTACATTAGAATGTGAGCCCCACATCGGTCCAGAAAATTTTATTTTTAGTATTTTTTAAATTAGTATGTATCGACTTGCCCTCTGACGAGGCCATTTAGCCATTTTTTTTTGCTATTCGGCACTACTTTAACCACTTCAGCCCCGGAAGGTTCTCCCCCCCTCCTGACTATGACATCTTTTTTGCTATTCGGTACTGGTGTTTCAACTGGTAATCGTGCGGTCATGCAACGCTGTACCCGGACAAAATTTTTTCCTTTTTGATCACCACTGGGTTTTATATTCTTTGTGATATTAATAAAAAAATTTTAAAATATAGTTTAACTTTGTTATAAAAAATACCCAATAAACTCAAATATAGTCATAAATTTAGGCCAAAATGTATTCTACTA